CAACCCCAGATCCTCCCAGTTAGCAATCGCGAGTAAAAGAAAGTCTGAACAAATAAGGCGGAGTGGGCGGGCATTGAGGCTGCGGAGACAGAATGCTAAATATCAAATCCATTTAGGAAAAACTTGTTAAAGTTGAAAGCTAAAATGTTTCACAGTGATAAAATCCTGCTGCGCGGTTATCAACCACAGACATAGCCATGGAAGATTCTCTACAAGAAACCCCCATTAAACATCTGGGTTTCTAAAGGCTAATGGCGTCTCACAGAATGCAACCGTTAATCTCAAATCCTCCGTGCTCATTGATTGTCTGGGATTACTGAACAAACTACCATCCATAACTCCTAAAGATATAAAAATACTTCTAGGTTTGTAAGAATCCCAAACATCTGTATGTGAGCTGTTTTCTCTCCGGTCGAAAGGTAATTTAACCAACAGGTACTCTGGTAGATAGGTGACCTTGAAACAATGCCTGCAAAAGCATGGCCATACCCAGCACCATCCTTCTGCCTTTCTTCTTGTCAATTCCTAAAGAAATTCTATTCGTGATGGAAGCAAATTGCAATCAAAAGGGAAATTCTACTCAATTTAGATAACGCCACAATCATTGGGACCGGGGCCCTTGCTGAGAAAAATAAAATGTTCTCAAGGTCTGAGAGGGGAGGAATGCATGGTACAAAGGGGTGCTAGAAAAAGGTACCTTGGGAGCCCAAAACAAAGCAATATATTACAAAGCAGCGGGATTCAGCATTCACTTCCTGCTCTTCCCAGAAATCATCCTTTGAGCCACTATTCCTCTCAAGGGGTAAGAGGCATTATGGGCATTTTGGGGAGGATGATTCTTTGTTGTATGGGATCGTCCTGTGCCTTCTAGGCCATTTACCTCCTTGACCCCACTCACCAAATACAAGTAGCACTTTCCAATCACTGACACGAAAACATCCCCAGACTCTCCCTAGAGTAGACATTACTGTCCCAAGTTGAGAGCCCTACAAGTCCTGGCTATGTTAATGTAAAAATAAGGTACAGTTTGAACTTGGCTGTGAGGATGCAGGAACTGAGTTATCCAAGATCACCGTGCTGTCTGTCCGCATGTAGGTGCATCAGGAAAAGAAAAGCGATTAACTCTATTTGCTGGCAAAGAAATCCCAGATGTCAGAAAGGCCGCAACAGCCACATGATTAGAGAGATAGCTTTGTTCTTGGTAGTAAAGCAAGTTTTAAAAGGAAATCAAAGACTGTAATGAGCTGGGGACAGTGTTCAAAAGAACTGATGTAGTAAATAACTCAACCCATGTTGTCATTTTCTTCTGGAAAAGGGAAGGAGGGTTTCTTTGAAGATGAGTTGCTATCTGCTTGATGTTTACATGAAAAACCAAGGAGACAAGCCTGTTTTTTAGGCTCATTGGGTTCAAATCAAAGTTATTGACCAGTTCCTTAACAGGTACTGTTGTGCTATTGGGAGGGCTCTGTGTCAATGGTTGCCTTGGGTGACAGTTTCAGGAGCTCCCCAGCTTTCTCAGTGTCACTGCTGAGGACCTTCTTTCTCCCTTCCACTCTTAACATTGACACTTCTCAGCCCCTGTCGTCCTGTCCCTTCCCTTCTCTTCCCTTCCCTTCCCTTATGTCCCCAGGACCAGATCATCTTTGGGGAAGAAGGTGGGAAGGGACAGCTCATCCTGCCATCTGTAATAGCCACTACCATTTGTTAGACAAGGACTGTTTGCCAAGCCCTGGACTAAGGCTCTTTTTTCGTTTGTGTTAATATTAAAGTAGGCCGCCAAAGGAAGTCTTAATGATTATTCCTCCAGAGGTTTTTTTCATTCTTTTTCTTGCAAGAATCCCAAATTCACAGAAAACTTGCAAGTACAACACAAAGAACTTTTCCCCCCATGAATTGTTTAAGAGTAAGTTGCCAGCATGATGCCCACCACCCTGATTTTCCTATGAACGAGGAGATAACCATAACCTAGTGAAACTTGCAAAATCAGGACTTTTAACCGGGTACATTCTTACCATCTAATCCTCAGCCCCCATTTAGGCGATCCCAGAAACGTTCTCTACAGCAAAGAGATCCAGGTGAAAATCATGTGTTGTGTTAAGCTGTCATGTCTCTTCGGTGCCCTTCAGTGTGGAACAGCCTTGCTCACTCTTCTCTTGGTTCTCATGACCTTGGCACACCTGAAGAGTACAGGCCAGTCATTTTACAGAATGTCCCTCAATTTGGTTTTGTCTGCCACTTCCTCATAATTGGGTTCAGGTGACACGGCGTTGGTGTGACTATCAGAGAAGTGGCTGGGGTCTTCATGTTGTGTCTGGTCAAGTGGCAACAGAATTTCGGTTGGTCCCATCACTTAGGTCACTTGATTAAGGTGATATGTGCCAGGTTTCTCCACGATGAAGTTATTCTTTTTCCATTTGTAACTGATAAGTATTTTAGGGGGAAGTACTCTGAGACTGCGAATACCCTGTTCCTCAGCAAACTTTCAATTATTTTATGGATTCATGGTTTTCTGTTTTAGTGAATGGTCTATCATTCGTTATTCTCATTATTGATTTTGATGCTCAAGTTGTTCCAGATGCGGCCAGCTGACCCCTTTCGAGCTGACCTCTGCTCTCTCCTTGATAAGCCCCCATTGGTATTTGAGCATTCTAGAACAAAGTACCCATCATGTACTTTCCTATAACCACCCTGGAATCAGCCATTCTTCAAGGTAGCTAAGTGCATTGTTGTTGGGTGACCTGTACGGTGGGCCTGAGAATGTCTGTCCATGTGTGGGCCTACATGTGTCTCATACCACGTGTGTCCATATCCTTGGATGCTTTGGATTATCTACTTCTCTGTTCCTTGTCTAACCACAGAAGTTCTCGAAGAGAGACCATTTACTGACACTATTGTAGATGAGAAAGCAAAAGCTCAGCAAGGTAGTATGCTGTCTAGCTGGTAACAAGACTAGAGGAAAAACCCCAAATCCCTTCTCCTTTAGTAAAACCACCAGCTGTAGCACACAACTTTTCATCATTAGCAAGTACAAATATTTTTATGATAGCTACTGATTGAGTTGGTGGGGGTGAGAGGGGTGTGTGTGGAATTAAAGGTAGTAATTTATTAAAGCTTATATCAGAGCAGAAAAGGAAAATATAATATTTTGATTTAAAGTATAAGATGTTAAAGAATAAAACTGGTTGGCGTATAAGGAATTCTGCAAATTATTTGTGTGGAATCTTTTCTAGAACACAGTGAGAGGAAAGTCCTTTGTTTCGGAAGAGCTCAGAGATTCCTGTGTTAAGAATTAGGGTTTCCAGGGCACTTGGGTGGCTCAGTGGGTTAAGTCTCTGCCTTCGTCTCAGGTCATGGTCTCAGGGTCCTGGGATCGAGCCCCACATTGGGCTCTCTGCTCGGTGGAGAGCCTGCTTCCCCCTCTCTCTCTGCCTGCCTCTCTGCCTACTTGTGCTCTCTCTCTCTCTCAAATAAATAAATAAAAGCTTAAAAAAAAAAAAAAAGAATTATGGTTCCCAGAGAAGTACAGAAAGTGAGATCAGGGACTAGGGTTTGACTCCAATTCTGGCTTCATATTGTCTATTATTTTTTTTTAAGATTTTATTTATTTATTTATTTATTTATTTTATTTATTTGACAGAGAGATCACAAGTAGGCAGGCACCCCTTCATATTGTCTATTATTAAGTCACTTAGTTTGTGACTCTTTTACAAATCACAAAGGTGGTGATTTTAATTGAGAGATAAAGAGTCTATAGGATTACTGTAGGGAATAGAGAAAGACAATGTCTGAACTGTGTAAATACCCAGCACTGTCTACATTAGTAAACTACATTTACTGCATTTGTGCCCTGGATCCCGCTGGCATCTGGTTTAAGATTTTATTTAAATTCCAGTTAGTTAACATATGTTGTATTACTAGCTTCAGGGGTAGAATCTAGTGATTCATCACTTGCCTTGAACACCCAGTGCTCATTCCATCATGTATCCGTCACCCACTTAATGCCCATCACCCAATTACTGCATCTCCCCCCACCTCCCCTCCAGCAACCCTCCGCTTGGTCCCTCTAGTTACGAGTCTTTAATATATGCTTTGTAAATGAATGCTTAAATAATAAGATCTAGTATCAGGACTAATAACTGCTGTAATTTCAAAGCACCGTATCTTAGTCTCCTTGGATTGCCATAACAAAATACCATAGACTGGGTGGCCTAAACAACAGAAGTTTATTTTCTCAGATTTCTAGAGACCAGAAGTCTGAGACCACAGTGCTGGTATGGCTGGGTTCCGGGAAGGGCTTCTGGGCCTCAAGAGGCCACCTTCTCCTTGTGGGCTCTCCTGGCCCTCCCCCAGTTCCTGCACATGGACAGAAAGAGAGAGAAAGAGCGAGATCTCTTCCTCTTTTTATAAAGCCACCACTGCTATCAGATTTGGCTTCCACCCTTACAACTTTTCATTTAACCCTAATAACCTCCTAAAAGCCCCATCTCCAAATATAGTCACATTAGGCAGCAGGGCTTAACATATGAATTTTGGAGAACCACAGTTCAGGCCATAGCATAGTGACAGGCATAAATGATATTTAAAAACATCTTCTGCAGACTATAGGTGATATGAAAATAGCTGTGAGCTGTTGGTAACAAAGTCATAGGTACTGCTGCTAATAGGTTTGTTGCCTACATTATGGGAGGTCATGCTTAATTTCTGGGAGAGGTTAGTGAAAATAAAGATATGATTTTGATCCCCATCCAAATTCACACCTACCCTGAACTTCTATGCAAAGACCATAGATGAAGAACTCCTGGAACATACAAATAAGATGTTCTTGTTTTGAGCAAACAAGTGACATAACCCCAGGATAGTGGGAATCAATTCTGAAATCAGCTAACTGCCTATTACCAGTCACCCAAGAAAGTAGTAGGTGTGGTGAATTGAAGAGACATCGTCTGTTTTTGGCTTTTTAAAATATGTGTTCGAGTATTGGAATGTGTTTTGTCTTGCAGACACCAGTAACCTAAATACTGAACAAAATGATTCCTGGACCTCTGAGAACTTCTGGCTTGACCCTTGTGTAAAGGGTCAGACGGAGACCACGACAGAGGACGATGGGCTTCGGAAATCCCTGGATAGGTTCTATGAAATGTTTGGCCATCCCCAGCCAGCCGCTAGAAACCCACTCTCCGCATCGGTCTGCCAGTGCCTGACTCAGAAAATCAATGAACTGAAGGGCCAGGAGAACCAAAAGTATGCCCTTCGCAGTTTCCAGATGGCCCGGGTCATCTTCAACCGGGATGGCTGCACGGTCTTACGGAGGCATTCCAAGGACGCCCACTTCTACCCACAGGGAGAAGGAAGTGTGTCTCTGGATGATGAAAAGCCAACCCCGGGACTTTCAAAAGATGTCATTCGTTTCCTCTTGCGACAGAACGTGATGAAAGCTCTCTAAGACGCCCCCAGTGGTAAGGGCAGGCAGCGTGGAGGATGGCCCTGTGGCCTGTGCTGTCAGTGCCTCCCCCACAGCCCCTCCGGCCTCTCTGGCCAGTCCTGTGGCTCCAGCCCCCCGCCCCCCACGAGCTGATACCAGAGCCACTTCAGCCCGCATGGAGAGCCAGCAGTGTTTGTGGGTTGGAGAGCCCCTCTGTTCACACCACCTCTCACCCCACCCCACCCTTTGACTTAAGGCCCAGACTGTCTGGCTGGGGAGCCCAAAAGCACAGCTTCCTTGCCCCAAGGAAGGAAGGACATGATCTGCGGCATAACATACTCTCCAGAGCTCCCTTCGGGATCAAACCAAGACTTGGGTTTCCCGGGAAATCACGCCTTGCTCAGCCTCTTCTGTCTCCCTGTCCTCCTTCTCCCGTTCACCTACTGGTGTCTCCTGGGAACCTTTCCTTAATAAAGCTCTTGCACCTGAATCCTTGACTCGGAGTCTACTTCTGAGAGAACCCAACCTGAGAGAACAGGGTTTTTTATTAGATGTGGGTTTTTTTGAAGGCTTTAAAGCTCTGCATGGAATTAAGTACAGGAATCAGACCAAGCTGTAAAACAGAGGCCATGTGATTGAGATTGTATTTCCCAAAATAATATAAAGATTTAAATACAGTTTAAGATGGATCACATGTTAATCATAATGTTGTCTCTCCAAAGCCAGAGTTCCCGGTTTTAAAATACTAACAGGGTGTGAAAGGAGCATTTGGACCCTCTAAAATAAGAGCTAATACCTGCAAATTGAAAAAAAAAAAAAAAAAAGGGGGGGGGGGGGGCGGCGCCTGGGTGGCTCAGTGGGTTAAAGCCTCTGCCTTCGGCTCAGGTCATGATCTCAGGGTCCTGGGATTGAGCCCCGCATCACATCGGGCTCTCTGCTCAGCAGGGAGCCTGCTTCCCCGCCTCTCTCTGCCTGCCTCTCTGCCTACTTGTGATCTCTGTCAAATAAATAAATAAAATCTTTAAAGAAAAAAAAAAAAGAAAGGCTCTTGTCTTTACCAGATTGCCAATGTGGAAGGTGTGAAGAAAACAAATGGGCACCACGTACCGACGTCTGTGGAAGCTCCATCAGGCCGTGCCGCGCTGATGAGATGTGGCCTTGGCCGTTCGTGAAGGAAGAGGAAAAGGGATCCTTTGCCCAAGTGGATTCCTCCCTGTCATTGTGGCCTTGTGCCTGCCCACTCCTGGCAACCTCTGTTACCCTCAGAACAGTTGGCCCCTCACCCCTGCCCTGTCCTTGCTGCGCCAGGGAGAGGCTTTAAATAGCTAGTGCCGGCTTGTGCTGGCAGATGCTCTGCTCCGTGGCCGTGTCCTGAACCCCTCGTTTGAGACTTGGGGGGTAGAATGACATCACTTGGCACCAAGCTCTCTAAAGCTGCCATTGGAGGCCTCATGCCAATCCCTGCCTTGACAGCCCTTCCCAAACATGACATTGACGGAAGGAGGTCTGTCGTTCGTTTGGGGGAGAACAAGAGAAGCTGGCAACCCTGTGCAGTTAAGATTTTGAGAAACCTGAGGTGAAATTTGGTTGGCCGAAGATTCCAGAAGCTTGCCAGAAAGTGGATTTTGCAAATAGATCGGCTTCCAAGTGTCCATGAAGAGTGAGGGAGCCCTCTCAGGCAGGTCTCTTGGGGACGTTCGGATGGGGAGAGGAGACTTTTAAAGGTCAGGAGTTACATACTGAGGCTTCCAGTTCTGAGAGGATCAGAGGTAAGAAACAGCATTTCACAGAGAAGTGCAGAAACACCACCGGAGGGAGACCCAAATGGGAGGAAATAGGAAAGGAGTAGGTCTTTGAGAGATACTTGAGTCAACAAGACAAGCAATCATGTGAATCTCTCCCACCCAGGCTTCTATTCAACTAACCCACAGATAATCAGGAAACCAGCGGGACTTAACCATTGAACATGTGCAGGTTGAATTTTAAGGTCCGTAACTTTATTGCTTTTTAGTGTGGGACCCGTTAATGGAGGCCTCCGAAGAATGCTGTGGGTTTTAGTATTATTCAGTCACTGAAAAAAATACTGGAAATTAGTTTCCATGCCCACTAACAGGAGACTGGATTATTTTCTACTGTTCTTTTCTTTTTTTTTTTTTTTTTTAGATTATTTATTTATTTATTTGACAGACAGAAATCACAAGTAGACAGGCAGGCAGAGAGAGAGGAGGAAGCAGTCTCCCCGCTGAGCAGAGAGTCCGATGCGGGGCTCGATCCTAGGACCCTGGGATCATGACCCGAGCCGAAGGCAGAGGCCTTAACCCACTGAGCCACCCAGGTGCCCCTATTTTCTACTGTTCTTAAAGGACAGAAAATGGAAGCTACTTCTGTTTGGCAGAGAGATTTTAGTATCAGTGATTTTAGAACCTTTTTTATTCTGGGTGCTAAGGGCAGCTCAGCAGGAGGCAGGCTCTGAAACCAGAGAATTTAGAAATGTAAAAGCCAGAATCACCTTAGGGTTTAAAAAAAAAAAAAAAAAAGAGATGAAGAAGAAAAAAAAAGAGCATGCTGTGTGTTTGCTTGTATCTGAGTAAGTGCTTGTGACAGGTCAGTACAAGATATTTGATTCCCTGCAATCTCGCTCTCTAATTTGATCTTCATGAGGTTCAAATGGCATTTTCCATTTATCTCTGTTTACCTTTAATAAAGACCAAGAGATAAGGATATTAAGGCTCTAGCCTTTGGCATTATCATCTGTTTCTGCCCTACAGATCACTTCACCAAGATCCTACCATCCCGTGAACGTTCTGACTGGCCTGTGATATCCTCTACGGCCCTTTCCAGCAGTCTCCAAGAGGGTAGATTTGCTTGCAGGAACATCAAAACTCTGAAGAGAAATTGTTACGTTTTATGTTTGTATGGTGACTACTCACTTTATTAGTCATTGCTTTGCAAGACCTATGTGAGTACATGCCGGATCTTAGTACCAGTCATTAGCACAAAACAATACAGAGATACTTTGAAAACTTTTTACTGAATTGTGCTAATCACACAGAGAGGAGTTTCTAAGTGAACCTCCTGATGATTTTCACAACCCAAACCCACCTGTGCACCCAGAATCCGGCTCAAGCAACGGAGATCACTAGCCAACCCAGGTGGCTCCCTTCTGAGTGAGGCTTTTCATCTGTAGAACAGATGAGAATAGTTTGCTCAGACCCTTTGTTTCTCAAACTGCTGATAGTATACTGTAGGCACTACGTGAACAAACAATGTTTATTTTCATTGTTATCTATTCAGTTTAATATGTTAGAAAATATATAACTATTGCATCTAATCTGTGCTTTTGCAGATAGCACAAAGGATAAGCCTAATATAAATATGGAGACAAACCATAAGAGACTCTTAATCTCGCAGAACAAACTGAGGGTTGCTGGGGGGAGGGAGGTGGGGAGAGGGTGGTGGGGTTATGGGCATTGGGGTTGTATGTGTGCTGTGGTGAGTGCTGTGAAGTGTGTAAACCTGGCGATTCACACACCTGTATCCCTGGGGCTAATAATGCATTATATGTTTATAAAAAATTTTTTTTAAATAAAATAAATATTTACAATTTGAAAGTGAATTGACTTAGGGACATCTGGGTGGCTCGGTCAGTTAAGCATCTGACTCTTGATTTTGGCTCAGGTCTTGATCTTAGGGTTGTGAGATTGAGCCCTGCGTCGGGCTCCGCTCTCAGCAGGGACTGCTTGAGATTCTCCCTCCCTCTCCCTCTTCCCCTCCCTGGCCCCTCACACCTTCTCTCTCTAAATAAATAAATAAATAAATATTTTTTAAAAGTGAATTGAATTAGTGATAAAATTAATAATTGTGTAGACAATATATAGATATGTCAAAAATTAGACATGGTAGCCATATGTCTTTATAATATCCCACCATCTCTCTCCTGGAACACTGCAAGAAACTTCTATCAGGTCAAGCCACATCTTCCTTTGCTGCTCTTTACCCTGCAACCCTGTCACAAATCCCTTTAAAAGCAAAACATACATAAATAGCTAGCAAATTAAAGAGAGGGGACTAGCCTTGTCTAATAGAAAAACATTTTTAATTCTACAGTAACTCAAGGAGCAACAAAAGCAGACAAATCAAAGAAAAAAGAAGAGTTCGGCCCACAGATATAAATGCATATGTAAATTGAAAATTTGATGAAGATAGCCTTTCAAATTTGTAAGAAGGTGGAATTTTTAGCAGATGGTTTAATTGGTTCCCCAGCTGGGGGAGGAGAGTAAAAAAAGGTTAAATTCTTCACCCCACTCTTGATATCAAAATGAATTTTAGATGGATTAAAAATAAAAAGTAAAAAGATAAAATCATAAAACTGCTAGAATAAAAAATGGATGATGTAGGGGCGCCTGGGTGGCTCAGTGGGTTAAAGCCTCTGCCTTCGGCTCAGGTCATGATCCCACGGTCCTGGGATCGAGCCCCGCATTGGGCTCTCTGCTCAGGGAGCCTGCTTCCTCCTCCCTCTCTGCCTGCCTCTCTGCCTGCTTGTGTTCTCTGTCTGTCAAATAAATAAATAAAAAAAATTTTTAAATGGACAATGTAGATGCATTCATGTGCGCTAGTAGCTCCAGCAGGCCCGGGGTCTCCCAGGCCTCCATGCAACGGCAGATGGTGATCTAGGGCATCCCCCTACATCTGCCCAGTGATATCATGTAAGCATCACATGCAGGGACCCAGTGGGAGCTTAAGCAAAGCCAGAACAAAGTAGACCAAAGCAGCATTGCAAAGGCTCAGAAAACTGTCACTGAAACTATAGCCTACAAAAGTAAATCTTAAAAAAAAAAAATCCAAAGCCCAAACAGGGTGGCTACCTACTAAAATAGAAGATGTATATAAGATTTAGAGTCTCCTAACATAATTTGCAAAATGTCCAGTATACAGTAAGAAAAAAAAAAATCACTTGTCATACCAAGCACCAAGAAAATCACAATGTGAGTGAGAAAAGATAGTCAGCTGACACCAGTAGTGAGATGAATCGGATGTTGGAACTATTTGGCTGAGATTTTTAAAGCAGTTACCATAAAATGGTTTCAGCAAGTAATTATGAAATCCCTTGAAACATATGAAGAAATATAAAACCTCATCTAAGAAATAGAAGTTACAAAAAAGAACCAAGTGGAAATTATAGAACTGAAAAGCACAGCCGCCAAAATTAAAAAAGGAAAAAAAAAAAAACCCTCATTGGATGGGTTCATTGGTAGAGTGGAGAGGACAAAAGATGGAATCGCTAAATTGAGAACAGTTCTATCAAATTTACTCAATCTGATAGACAAGAGGAAAGGTACTGGGGGAAGAAATCTGTGGCACGGTAACAAAAGATACTGACACTGATATTATCAGATTCCCAGAAGGAGACGAGAAAGATTGTGGGGCTAAACAAATATTCAAAGAAATAGTGGCTGAAAACTTCCATTTGGTGAAAGACAAAACCTACAG